GATTGAAACACCTAAGGGAATATCGCTCCCGCCGCCTTGAGTCCGGAAGCCGTTCCGTAGATGGAAGGCGTAGACATTTTGGTGAGGTACCAATGTTTAGTACTTGTAAGGAGCCCCAAACTGCTCCTGAGTGAAGGAGTGGAACGTCTGCCAGTTTGAACTGAGATAACGGAATATGAGGCAACTGGCAGTTGGAACAGAGTTCTTTTCAGGTGGGGAGGGGGAGTAGAACTCCTTAGCATCAGAGCCTGTTAATTACTGTATAAGAAATACTAATGATTGTAAGGTCATTTAGAAAAACCCTTTCTTAGTGAACACCTAGAAGCTGAGAGGAACATACATGCCAAATTTCAAGTTTGTAGGCTTTACGGTTCTGGAGATTTTGTGATGAGTGATATTTGGCTTTTAGATATATATATGATCATTCCACATGTTCATCACAGTGTTCAGGGTAGTCCTTGGGAATCCCGGATATTATTCCGGCAACCATTCAGCAAGGAGGGCTTGGAAAAGACAGCTGAGCAAAAACCGGAACTCAAGTTACCAAGATCGCCATGCAACCCAGAATTTCTCAGTCGGGAAAGAGGCTACATTTGCCACAAAATCCATCAAAGTCCATGCTCTCTGATGTTTCGGGTTAGTGTGTATTATAATTTAGAAGCTAGCAGATTAGGAAGAGCAGAAGTCTTCTGGTCAACGGCATCGATTCTTTGCATGTTGGTTCTTATTCCTAGGAAAGATTCCTCAAAGGAATCTAAAATAACCGCCAGCTTCCCTATTTTTCGGAGTATAAGATGCACCTTTTTCTGTCAAACAAAGAGACTGAAAATCTGGGCGTGTCATACACTGAATAAAGCATTTTTTGCCTCCCGAAACCCCGCCCCTATACCAAAATGGCTGTGCCTAGCCTTTAGGAGGCTTCCAGAGTGCTCCTGGGGGCTGGGGAGGGCAAAAATGAGGAAAAAATGGGCCATTTGTTTGCTTAATTCCCCTCCAGCCCCCAGGAGCACTCTATAAGCCTCCTAAAGACTATGCATGAAATTTCTTTGACAAAAAAATGGGCCCGTTTTGGTGAAAAACGAGCCAGTTTTTGCTCATTTTGGGGGGTCCCCACCCCCCAGGAGCGCTCTACAAGCCTCCTAAAGGCTATTCATGCCTTTAAAAAAAAGGGCCAGTTTTTGCAAAAAATGGGTTGTTTTGGGGAGGTCTGCAAAGTGCAAAAACTTTTTAAAAAAATTTGCCTCTTCAAAACATTGGTGCGTCTTATACTCCAAAAATATGGTAATTGCACACAAAGCAGGGTGGATAAAAAACGATGATTTTAAAAAATAAATAAATTTAAAGATCGGATTTTTTTTAAAAATTAAATGGGATTTATTTTTATTTTTATCCAATTTATTTTAATAAAATGCTTTTGGAATAAAAATCTATCTAAAAATAGTTTTCTATTTAAGAGACATTAATAATTTAGTATATTCAGCATGAAATGGAGCTTAGTTATGTAGCATGAGGTTGTATATTCTGCAATATTTACATTTTGGGTAAACTCATTCAATGAATCCAAACTCTGCAAGCTAAAGAGGAAACCTACATTTTGTTTGCAAATAATATTAAAGATTCTAACTAATAGGAAGCCGCAAGCCTTTAGGCGATGGGCAGCCACAGAAATGTTTTCAATCCAACAGTCAGTATTTATCTGCTGTGGCCCACCAGCAGCCAGCAGAGCTGGTGGGAGACTCAGACAGTGAGGAGGTTGGGGAAGAACCTGGGCCAGTCCTGGAGTCTGGGAAAGGTTCTGACCAGTGCTGTGAGTCAGAGGCAGAGATGGCGCCAAGGCAGTTATCAGCTGCCTTCATAGTCAGACATTAGTGGGGCAGACGAACAGCTGGAGCCTGTTCCCAATGTCCACATGCAGAGAGCTGCCAGGAGACGGGAATAGCTAAGGAACAAGAGCTGACTCGGGAGTAAAGGCACAGGTGGACGGTGAATGGCCCCTCCCATAGGGAATAAAGAGTAGCAAAGGGCGAGGGGAGTTTGCAGGAGGTGGCGCAGTGGTTAGAGTGCAGTACTGCAGCCACTTCAGCTGACTGTTAGCTGCAGTTCG